CCCCCCCCCGAAGATTAGTGCTGCGGTTTGAATGAGAGGGTTAGCGGTTTGAATGAGAGGGTTAGCTGGCGGGCCTTGGCTGAGCATCACCGCTTTCAGAATGTTTACACTTGGAATTTTTCAGAAACCTGCTGCTGCTAACTGTTGACATTCAGTTTGAGAAATACTGTACATGACAAATAAATGCTTATCGTTTATCCTGAAAACTGAGTGTTGAGAGGATATATGTAAAGGTCACAAAGAACCAACTGTACTTTTGTGTTGTATCCACAGTTATCTGCTTAGAATTCTTTCTGCATTTTACCTAGGCCTTGAGGGTGAACATGTTTGGTAATTGTAGTGATCAAAATAGATGCAAATAACATTGTTTCTGGAATTTAATCATCAGTGAAAAGCACGTTCTTCATTTAAATGTAGTTACATTTTAAAAATAAAAGAATGTGTTTTAGTAGAAAAGAACCTATGCTTTGTAGGTAATAGGCATGTTTTAAAATTACAGCACTACCCATTACAACATTAGCTGTATGTCCTTGGGTAAATCATTCAACCTTCCCTGTCCTTGGATTTCTCACACGAGAATGGGGATATTCTTTACCCAGAGGTTGTTAAAGGGTTGGAAGTGATTAATGTATGTGAAATTCCTGGCGTGAGTTCTGCCAGCTCGGGTAGACGTCAGCGGTGGTTATTCCCTCACAAGCACGAGTGCGAGAGGACGCTGCTGCCGCCTCTGGTCGGGTTTGTTTACTCCTGAGGGAGGTGTGGGCACTGCACTGCCCTAGAGGAGAGCTCGCCAGGCACAGCTTTTGTCCCTGCGGCAGAATGGGTGGGCGGCCCTCTCCTGTGCAGGCGCCGTGGGCCTCAGTCCACACGTTAAACTGTCGGCCCTGTTTGAAGTGTATAGAATATTCACACCCCAGGTCCTGTGACCTCAGTACTGACACTTGCACATCACAGTGCTGGGGTTCAGCTGAAGCAACATTCTGCTAAACCCCTTTCCGGGGTGTTTTCTGGAGCTCACCTGTCCCCTAAGATGCTTTGGGTCAGATACGTGTGGGCGACTGCACACTGCCGGAAAGACAGCTGCAGCGTGGACCCGGGTGCAGCCCTGCGACCTGGGTTCAGTTGCCCTCCACCTGCGGCTCTTGATGTGCAAAGCACCTGAAGGACATTGGTGGGAAACGGTGAAGGACGTGGCAGTTACTTTGTCAGACCTGTTCCCTGATTAAGCCAGGGAGCCCCTGGTTTTGACTTGTGGTAGAATCACGTCTGCTGGCCCGTATTTGGGGCCTGTGTCGGAGGCTGTTGTATTCATTGCAAGTGAGTCTGGGGCCTGGCGTCCCTACTTTTGCAGTGCTGTCCTTATGAGGACCTGTGTGGAAATGCCCCTCACATGTCAGGCAGACTTAAGCAACTTAAAAATTGCATATTGTGGCACATTATGTCACCAAAAATTTCCCCCATTTTTCAGCCAAACATCGTTTTAACTGATGCAGATTCTGGTGTTCTGACTCGCGTCCTTCGCCTCTTTCAGAGGGTCTTTGTAATGTTAACTTCATTGACATCTGCTTTGTTCATTTATCTTTTTGCCTTTCTTGGTAATAGTTTTCTGTTCCAGTATTATCCTTAGGTCCTCAATTCCATTCCCCTCTTCCTGGTATTTGAGTGTGTTACATCCTTTAGCATATGTGGGATAACTGCATTTTCTGCCAAACACCCCCCCC